CCCCATTGTCTTGGAAATGCAATCAAAGTTGTTGGCCCTCCTCGCGTCAAAATAAATACCCGGGTATGTGCATATCGTCCGTGGCTGCCACGAAGCAAGTTTGCATCCTGGCTGTCGTCTTGCGCAGCCTCTACCTCGTTGCCATTTGTGTGGGTGAGCTTCCGACTCAGAAGTTGTGATCACAAACTTCGTGACGAAAAGGAAGTCGAACAAATTGCAAGACAGTATGCAGCTTTCACGAATGACTGCGTTCATACCTATATTCGAAATACGGAAAATATCCACATACTTTGATTTGACAGCGTTCCGGTTTGGTATTAGTGTGAATGTTTCCTGAAAGCTAGCCTTTTATCGGCCTGCTTGGTGTAGAAATCAACTCTTCCTGCTTTCAAGTCAGTGGCCCTTGTATAGCCCGTCCGAGGAATTCTGTTGCATCGGCCTCATTCCATCCTGACTTTGACGATGGACACGAAATTAGAATTATAGATCTACAGGGCAGGCGTTGCATTCCATGCCTTACATAAATTCGGTTGCAGGAAGCAGTCTGTGTGAGTACTTAAAGATCATGTTATGTTTGCTGTTATTGCTAATGTATATAGCCAAAACCGCAACGCTACAACGATAATGCGTTGGAACAAATGACAATTCTCGCTTGTAACTTTCGTGCAAGATCTCTGGGATTCCGCGGTCAATTCAAATCGAGATCAATGAGGTTTTCAAATGAACCTAGATCACTGGAAATGAGTGCACCACAGTACACAACCAGGCACGCTAAACAGGCAACGTAAAGCGAATAGCTGATAGTCAAATCCGAAAGCAACTCACACAAGGCCATTTGGAGAATACTGCTAGAAACCGAGAAGTACCCAAACAGCGTTCAGTTATGTCCAAAAACCCAAAAATTGATTTTAAACCCTGGGATAGACTGGTTTTGACAACAGTAGGTTCTGACCAAACAGGATGAGCTTTAGGGCACAGATCACCCAGACGATCGCGTAAGAGCAATTTGTTCCAAGAAGCTGTATTTTATCACGTCACGTATATTCCAAGCCTTATGTATCTCTCTAGCTTATAGTCGCAAATTCCTGATTAGGATCCGACTGGCGCACACACCCGAAACAACCTCTAAGTCGGTTCAAGTTGTTCCTATGCTTAATCAATGCCTACCTGACTTCGCTATCAAACTGCGAGATGACAGAACTGGTAGCCATCCGAAGCTGGTTCACTACTTTGCTGTCTGTCACAACGCGGTAATATAAATCCGCCAAATGTTCTGTTTTCATAAACTGTCCGACTGAATTAGGGTATCCTGCTCAAACTTCAAGGGTTGCGAAGCGTAAACTGCTGCTTAGCATGGTAATGGGGATATGCCTAGGTCAGCTGACGAATCTCAGCTGAACTTTGTATAATTGTCCGTTACTTCTATACGTCCCGGACTTTCGGAAGACCAGACGCTTGAATGTGGTATCATATTTAACTCCAAGGAAACCACCTACATTATTTCTTAATGTGCAAAGGCATTTCGTTTCAGTCGTTGCTATTTCGAGACTACTTAAAACAGTGAAGCTGCATTTTATATTAGTGGAATCTAATTTTATTTGCCGGGCAGGATAACCAAATTGAACATTTTATCCGAAACCCGAAACAAGAATAGCTTTCGAGAAATACACTCATCTGCAAATCAATTTTCACGGGCACGGGAGACTCAATTGAATCTCTCGTTTATGATGTTCTCCAGCTGAATGTGCTGCACACAGGCCGCCTCATGATTCAGTTGGCACGATATTCGAGATATCGAAGTATATTTTCATAAAGGAAACTACTCACAAGGTTGCTGAAAACTCTTTCAGCAACCTTGTGAGTAGTTTCCTTTATGAAAAAGGATAGCTTTGTTGTTCTCAGGCGGAGACGCTGTTATTTTCTGGCAACATGAACCCCTACATTGATCCGAAAATAAAACTTTCATTGCGACTAAGTACAGCTAGTCAACCAAAAACTGTGACCAATAACAAAAGAAATTTCTCAGCGTTTTGTACGTGAAATTGAAAATATTACAAATGGGTGGAAGAAAGCAACGTTGTTGTTCGTGCACAGCTGTAAAAATTGGTCCTGTTTATACGAGACGAAATCAGATTGTGTTCTTTAAGCGCACAGAGATGTGGTGCATGGGAAACACTAACTCATGACATACCTCCTCGCTCGTTTTCTTTTGCAAATATATATATATATATATATATATATATGTAAGAGATTCTACCGGCCTCAATGAGCTTTGTTGCGGGTTAAATGGTCTCACGATAAAAGTACTGACAGACCAGGTTAGTCGAAATTTCGTTTTAAAATTTTGATAAAAACGAAATTACATACCGATCAATTGACTATTGGTCTGTTCATCAAGGTTATAAACAGCTTATACCATTTGGGAAGACAGCGGTGGGGATCAGCCAGGTTGGCGGTTGGAGTTTTACTGTATTTTATACGGTGGAAAGCGTCCTTGTTGACGGTTAGGTGCATTTTCTTGTTCGACTGAATGATAACGTTTACAGCTGTCTTTAATTATTCCAATTCAAACTTATTGTCCTGGAGAAAGGGAGAGCTGAACGTTCTTTTAATTATGCTGTATGCAAGAGGGTTCATCATTTTGGCCACTATCGATTCCCATCTAACCATATTCTTGAATTTTTTGAAGCTAAAGCTTTGTTCCTTACTAATACAGTCTTTTGAAAGTACGATTTTTCTAGAGCATTCATATAAGGGCTGCTGCTGTTGTAGTGTAGAAGATTCTGCGAACAAGCGCTTGCGGTCAAAAAGCCTTTTTGTGGGCAAAACTACCATACTGTTGACATTATATCCCAATATAGGTTGCTTGTTCGTGTTTGTGGTCTGGCGATCAGGTGCCAGTTGATTTGCCTACCGAGCTTAGCAGCTGGCTTGCAAACCTTATCTCACCATCGAGCAGACATCAATGGATGGTTGGATGCTTAGAAGCCATTTTCAGTAGACAGGTTAACTTCAGTGGATCAATATCCCCCTTCTGGCCCTTAATAAAGTGTTCGTTCTTCAAACGTAATCAACAAATGCTGAAAAGCCAAAAAAGCGGTGATGCTTATTCATTTTTGTTTGAATGCATCACCCCTGTGGGTCACACGAAACTCTAGTTATGATATTGAAGTTTTGCCGTTCGCTTGTTAGATTCAGACTGAATGTACTTTTTAACTCAGACGACTCGCCCCGTGGTCAATACGACTTATCAGTAAGGTGGAACAGGGGCGGCAAATTAAGTTTCAATTTGAGTTGAACATCCAGGATTAGATAAAACGAAAAGAACAAAAATACCCATTCAACGGACCGCAAACCACTTTTACTGCAGTCTGAATACCACATAATCTTAAGGCGTAAAGCAAGCATCATGTTGTACACGTTGTACAATTTTTAACCGGAAAACAAAATCATTTGTGGAGTTGAAGCCGGACGTAGGAGTATCTACTTGATAGGGACTCAGGAAATGTGTGTCCAGCAGTGAGCCGATTGATCGACGCTTTAAATTCTATTTTATGAGTGGGAAGTGAGAACATAATTATCTACAAGCGTGCATGCTTGCTTTAAAAGCACGCCATCCTATCCCACACAGATCCGCCCACAAACTGTAAGCCAGTTGATATGTGAAACGCTTATAGAAAGAATGCAGGCCACCTGTTCAAATCCATCGAAACTTAGCAAACATTTTTGTGCCACAAAACACGATCAAAAGAGCTCATTACTTCAGTGACCTGATTGCACCAAAATTGTCCGAATAAGAGTTTTTCCGTGTCGCTGAAAGCAACCATGCGAAATTTCCGGTTGTTTTACAACGCCTCACGTCAACCCTCTTTTGGTCCTGATTGCAGTCTGAGGACATTCATCGCTATACACATCGTTTCTTTCCGGAGTCTGATTTGGATGTTTAAAGGAGGTCGGGGCTTCTAGACAGAGTTATATTTTAACGCAGATCACCGGATAGTTTTCAGGGAAATTAACGTTTGCGAAAAAGGACGAAGAAATGTCAGTTTACTTGGAAATCTCACGGAAAATGCAATCCATGTAGCTGATTTATTTTTATAATTTCAAGTGCTGGAGATTTGATCGGAAGTGTATATCAGCATGGTAGCGTTTTTATTAAATGGAGAGCTAGGAGAATTAATGGATATTTTAAATCTTCTTTTCAGAACTACATTGCTATTTACCTGGTCATTGACGTACGCTTTAGATGAAAAGATCTGACCTCTAAAACAAAGTTTATTCCTGTAGATTCCGTTTGTGTTTCTTTTGAAAAAAATTACGCAGTTGCCTATGTGATGACCTACTTATAGTAAAATGGATTGGCAGCCACCATCGTGGAAGTGGGCTTTCACATTTTTGCTCCATGATACGAACCCTCTAAAAGTCATCAGGAATTCTAATCTTATTGGATGAGATGAACCCCCGAGAACAGGTCCGATACAATTTTAATGACACTGACAAAGTAAAGATGAAGTGTCACCATATCTCAGTCGCGTTATTCTACCTACGCTATATCAGCAAACTTGGTGCTCTCTAACCTATGGGTTCTGCGTACGGGTCAGACCAGAAAATCGTTTAGAAGAGTGTTCGTAATTAGTAACTGGCATCATTCAAACAGGATTGCACGGTATCTTAGTGATACGGACATGGTTATCTGCCTCCTAAACATGCTGATTGCACACACTGCCATGAACTTCAGTTGCTTCTTAAAGCACCAGGGCGCGGTCAAAAAATTAACCACTGATTTTGTTTCCATTTCGCAATAGTAAGTGCTTTCTTGAACTGCAGTGGCACTTGTTAAGTGCATGGAGTACGATTAGAAAATACCGTCTATACATGCGCGATATCTGCTGTTGTCTGGGTATGAGGCGACCAATAAAGCTGTTTTTATTCAGCCGGGTGACCGACTGGTGCCTGCTCTGCAAACTTGGTAGAAGTTGCTTTTCAGTTAAGCCACGTACCTTGCAGGAGAATAAACAGATCCCAAGGACTTTGAATCAAGTGCGCTTTCTAAAGTAGTGCGGTTAATACGGATATGTGACCATAACTCACTGGCAATAGTTTTTCCTAAAATTGGACGCAGAAAAACACAAAATCACCATCTCCCGTTTATGGCGTTGAGTTCTCGGTTGACGTACAAAAACCTCTATATGAGTCTGCCATTTTCGTGTAATCCATTGTTTTACATGTGGCTGCCCCGCAGGACTGAAGGCGATTCCAACTAAGAACAGACAAACAAGTGTCGATAATTTGAAGTAAGCTTATAAACCACGCATTATCCGATCGAATAAAATGCCACTAACCTTACCTCAACACTTAATAAGTAAAAGAAGTTGGACATAAGCGTACAATGCACTCAGATCTTCCTTCACGCATCGAAAAGATGAATGTTATTGAAATACCGAAACAAAAGCTTTTAAATAAAAATGGTTATTCATTTTGTTGACTCTGCCGTGGTGATTTGAAGACAGTCAGTGCATGCTAATATGTTCCCATACAAATTTTATATATTTAGCTGTTGATGATATTAAGTGTGCTACGCAAGTGCGAATGCGCAGGGAGCCATGTTTGGATAGATATGAAAATCTGCAATGCTATGCTTTCTGCATGCCAGTTGCGTACACAGTCCCTTCAAAGAAAACACTTTGACGGTCGAACCTGTCTACAGTTTAATTTTTACATTCTGTAAAACTAGACAGCCCGTCAGTGTTTTCCGTAGACAAAGTGATATTTACGATGCGTCGTAGCACCGGACAAAATGGAAGTTTCTGAATTTGCCTTGTGCATTGTTGGCTGTGATGACCTCCGATGGCTGTTTGGGAAGAAAATGGTACGCCCACATTGAGCTACTTTACGGTGTTGGCCATTATAAATATATGATTTGAGTTATCTTCATAACAAGCAGTCTCGATTATGACATGACGCATTTATGCGCGTTTACAAATATTACCATTTAGATAGTCTGAATTATTTCTGTAGCCGACGTTTGGGTTGTCAAATGCGTGCGGGATCTTGTAAGTGCACTGGTGCCTAGAATTACTGGTGTTCGGAACACCTTCTGTTAGAGTGGATATATTTGATATCCTCGAACATGCTCGTATCAGTAAAAAAATTCGAATAACGCTTTCCCGCAAGATACTATTTAGCTTGGGGATCACGCTGTTCTGTTTTTGGCCGTGGAGTTAGGAGGCAGAATGTGTCTAGCAATTCAATAAAACATTTGGAGCCGAGACATTTATCTAAACCACTGTAAACATCCTGTCTCCAAGGCAACATGTTAGGTACTTTGGTACTGCGGATAAACGTCTTCAGTTTGTGTGCCACAGTATTTTTATGCTCTCGGGACCCAACCACATTAGTTACATTTTTATAATAAACTATAAGATGGACCGGTTCAAAAATAGGTACCGTTTTTATCCTTTAAGCGCATAGTGAGGTTGACGAGGAGTCGATTTTTAGGAGGAACACTATCGGCAGCTGGTAACTCAGAGCTTCAGCCAACCCCGTGAGCAGTATTTTACGAAAGTTCTGCTTATTGCAAAGTCTCTTCAGTGACCAAATTAGCGTGGACGAGAAAAGGAAACCTCTACTGTCCATAATGGAACGCCTATTAATTACAGTCTGCTTTAATTTAAATGCTTTCTGAAATAAACGCATGAAACGTCAAAGGGTCTACGGATCCTCATCCGACTTTGCTTGTTCGTGCTTCCATCAATTACTATATTGGACCTGATTTTTAACCTGGTGGTTCACCCAAACACAATAGGCTTCATTGAGTTTAAACCGTCTGGTCACCATCATCTTTGTTTGTCGTCCAACTCTGTCAGTTTATGCGAGCGCTCTCTTTTTCCAGATATCGCTGTGCCTGAGAAAATATGAATGATGTCGTATTTGTTTCATTTTATTGGCCTCTCTACTCATTATTTAAGTCAGCTTCTATTTAACAAAATGCTGGAACATTTACAGTGAACAGTCAGACAACCAATATAAAACAAAACTGTGCGATCAGCGAATATACACTTATTTGCAAACTAATTTGGTTTTTTTCGAGAGGCTCACCTGGAACACAGGTGAATCTGTCGTTTGTGATGTTCTCAGGCAACTGAATGTGCTGCACCAGGCCGCTTCATGTCTCAGTCACTACGATATTCGAGATATCGCGATGCATGTATATCTTTGTAACATCACAACCAAGAGATTCAGCTGTGTTCTAGGTGAGTCTCTAGAAAAAAAATTAGTTTGCAAATGAGTGTATATTCGCTGATTCCGTGCAATTTGTTTCAAGTAGAACATAAGGCTGACGGAAACCCAGGGACTGCGTCTACCTGATGAGCCCCAAAAAGGGCGAAACCTGTTGTGGGCTGTCGACGGATTTTCAGCAATCTTACGGGTAGTAGGTTGCCCAGCTGGTGCAAGCAAAAGGAAGTAAGTGGTTTCCCAAACCTACGGTTGTTTGTGGACACGTAAACATGCAAGTTTGGAATAACCAATTGGCTTTTACCTGAAAAAACGCAGTAGAAAGCTAGTCTTCCCGTAAAATTATTGGTCCACAGTAAGCCGTGTTTCGACTTTTTGGTAGCAAGATAGATTTTCCGAGCATTCGGAAACCGCGAAAGCCATTCTTCCCCACCAGCATTTGATGCGACCGTAATCCGTAAAATTATTGGTCCACAGTAAGCCGTGATTCGACTTTTTGGTAGCAAGATAAATTTTCCTAGCATTCGGAAACCACGAAAGCCATTCTTCCCCACCAGCATTTAATGCGACCGTAATTTTTAATTTCAGTGGCCTAACTAAAACGACACTTCTTACGAAACTAAGCGAACTACATTTCATACTCGACGGATGTGAACATCCCTTTGCATAACGCGTGATTGCTTTTGGGCAAATTACTTGAGTGGGTAGTCACGCGACTTATCCTTAAAAGCGCCTGTAAGTGGTCGTAGCGTTTGCTGGTTAAACTATGCCAACCACTGGTTCACACATTTCATTACGGCGGATTTCATGGCTTACGGTTTTACACATTAACCACACCATTTGCTCTTGTTGCACAAGAGCTGTGAGATGGGATGTTTTCACCGAAGGTAAACAGTATGAATGAGCTTGGTTTTTGTATGCCGTGATTTGCCATGTCCAAAATGAAATCACTCTTGCTGCTAGGTAACGTTCATGCTTAAATAACTGAGGATCTCTCTGAAGGAAGACTAAGGGCACAAAAATAACAAGATTTTCGGTCTGTTCCGGTGGGTATAGAAACCCGGACCACTGAGTCAATGGTAAATTCCCAGGGACAAGGAGCTTGCTTGAAAGCAAATGTAGCCTTTCCAAAGGACCAAGTGAAGCGGACTACCGTATCGCAAAACATTTATCATTTTCTTTTAGTTAGTCGCTTCGAGAACAGAACCAGTCAATGAAATTTGAGCAAAATGTGTATCTGTAAAATATGTATGAATCAACATCATTGAGGTGTGTTTATGATCCTCTTGGAAGTCTGATTAGTATACCATGAGCACGATTTAACTTCTCAGTGATTCGACAGCGAAAGACTAAAAGCTGTCTGTCGTCATCCCTTCTTCTCAATACACAGATGATCAGTCAGTTGCTAGTTTTTATTTGTCGTCTAAGAGAGAGATAATCACATCGTTGTTCTGCCACTCTCAGCCTAACGGATAACTGTTCAGTCACTGAAGGTCAAGGGCTCAAAACTCTGAGTTTCGTGAGAACGCTCTGTTCATGGTTCTCAGCGAGGATGAAAAAGCTATGCAGATCTCGGCTTTTCAGTATAGCTTGACCTTCATGACAAGACAATATCTCAGTTAAAAAATATCAAATCCTATCACACTACGATCGATTCCTCCTAATAGCCATCAAGCAACCCATGATGCTCATACCAAACTGGACATTCCCGTAAATTGAAAACCCTATATCGTTTGGTAAGCCTGGTTTATGCTGACATTGTCAAAACCACCTTAATAAAACGAATACGACTAGAATTCCGATCACTACCTGAAGAGAAGGAACTCAGAGTTGAAGAGTGGGAGCCAGACGGTTCTAATCTATTCTCAAATTGTCTTTCCGTTCACCCCATCAATACTTAAAATTCTCACTTTTGACGGTTGCTATGTATGCAAAAGTAAGGATACTATCATTATCCGAGGGAAGAAAACCTTGGTTTTTGAACGGTTTTAGAAAATGTTTCTTAAAAACGTCAAATTTATGGATATCCTAATCGCGAACTTTAGTGATTATCTAAGTCCGCAACAAAAATCTAACTTGTGATTCCTTTATATTTAAAAAAAGACTTGGAGAAAATCCAAATGTTCAGTTTCATATGACACGTATTCCTATGCTTTGCTGCTCTTAAATCTCCAAAAATCATTTTATGCGATATAAAGGATATTGTGGAAATTTCGTCCGCTAGATGCGGCAAAATTCGTCATAGGAGCGAACTACTACAATCACAGTTCTACGTGAATTGCGACATCACATGATGTGGCTTCTTCTGTGTTTACATAGCTTTCCAATAGAGTGCGCGTTCTTTCGGTGGTAATTCACTTATTGTTATCGATAGACGGTCGATGGTGCCTGTATTTCTATGCTCAGAGCACGAATATCGTCGATGGCTCTTGAGTAATTTTGTTCTCACCAAGCAAGCAGACGTCTTTCTTTGTCTGTTTTTCAATTACAGCTCCTCCAGAAAACACACCTAACCGCTGGTTGTTAAATCGTTTTATGCAACAAGTTGAACGAAATGTATGGGTGATCAAAAAAGTAGATTCTTGTTGAGTAAACGTCCGAGTAAACGTTCGTAATCGTTCGAGTTGGAAAACAACCGTTTTTGTAAATTCACATCAGAAAGACACCTGCATCTGTAAACGCCAAAGAAGGAGGGTTTGTTATTAAACCTTATAAATCAATTAAAATCAAGTATAATAGGTGTAAACTTCCATGGTTCACAACTAGCGCAGAGTTGGAACAGAATGGGAAGCAAAAGGCTGATATATATATACGTCAACCTAGAAACCATAGCTTAATTGAAATAGGGGAAAATGTATTTTCTGAATTAT